TGAGACACCATAAAGTGGTATGTAGGTAGATAAAATACTAATCTATAGATGTGAATCCATTTCATGTTACATCTGAGAGGTTTTAGTTGATTTTGAAAGCTCGGGCCTAGTCGGACCCAACACTTCTGACAGAGATTTTCTTAAGAAAATACAGTAAAAGTGTTTGACTTTAACGGTTCAGTTTTCTTTAAATGCGATACACTGTGGCATTATAAAGTGGTATATAGGTAGATATAAGACTAATCAATAGATGTAAGCACATCTGAAGATACATCTGTGTGCTTAAAGGTGATTTTGACAGCCCGGTCCAAGTCGGACCGAGCACAAGCCAAACACTTCTGATAGAGACTATGTTGAGAATGTAGAGGGAAAAGGGCTTCACTTTGAGCACCGTGTTTTCTTTAAATACCGGCATCTGAGACACTATAACGAGATATTTAGGTAGATATCATACTAATCTATAGGTGTGAATCCATTTCATGTTACATCTGTGAGGTTTAAGTTGATTTTTACAGCCCGGGCCAAGTCGGACCGAACACTTGTGAGACTGTTGAGAGTATGGGGAGAAGAGGTCTACTTTAACTAACGTGTCTGCTTTATACACGATGAACAGTGACATTATAAAGTGGTATTACTTAGATATAGTACGTTCCTATAAATATAAACGCTATGCAGACAGATGGAAATTTGTATCACGATAGCTAGAAGTATTTGATACGTTTCAAATCTTATTTCGTTTAACGATTGCTCTTTTATATGTTACCTAGATCAGCGACGCTTACACACAGCTCCACTTTCTGGTTTTCAAGTGATTTACTCCGAAATACTTAATTATGGTGCACGTTTTTGGTTGGTGATTGTTCAGTAATGACACGTGTGTGTGTTGCATCAATATTATGTAGGTATGATCGCCGATAATGAAGTAATTAGCCAATAACACTTTGGCCCGTCCCGACTCTTAGGCAATGCATTCACATAGTGACGTGGCCGTATGAATCTGTCCTGTGCTCTAGTCGTGATACATGGTTGACCGGATCTGGAAAGGTCACATGTTTTTCCGTGTGTCTGATAACGGTTTCGTGGTCTTGTAATGGTGCTTGGTGCTACATGGGAAAACCTGGCTACAACTGAAGAGGATTTTCATGTTTGCATCCGGTCGTGGCGTGGTTAGGTTGGGCTTCCGTCAGTCGTGGCATGTTTTCGTTGTTCACTTGCTGTAAGATTGTGATGGCATGCAAATGAAAACCCAACGTTTTTATAGCCAAACAAGTGTTGTTGCACGTGCATGTCATGTTTCGATGCCAGGCTCTCACGTTGTTGTGTTTGTGATTTTGGCATCTTTTCACCAAATTCCTGCAGTACCTCATTCTTTCCACACAAATCAATCCCATGCAGAAATGACCAATTCAATTTTTTTGTATTAATCGTGTATGGACGTTGGTAACACTCAGTCAGATATTTACGATTTTACGACTTTTGCATTTCTTTTTTTTCCAAAGTATATAGATTCTATACTGAACAAAAAAAGTAAGGGATCATGACTTTTTGGGGGGATATTCTTACGACAGTGTCAGCTCAGTCTTAACTACAAAAAAAAAATACACCCCCAAAAATTTTCATGATCCCTAACGGTTTTTGATCAGTATAGATGTAACCATACAAACATTCCTAAGCAACTGCAAAATAACAAAGCAAAACCAATCATTTTGTATACAGTTTATTATGAAGAAAAAGTGGCATTGAAGATAACAAGAGAAACCAAGTAAAAAAATACAAAACAAAAACTGGAATTGTTTCCACAAGCACGTTAGTGAAGATGATAGTCCTATTTGTTTGATCATGTTTGAAAGTTAAAGAACATACTCACTGATACACGGACACATTGGTCCACAGAGAGAAACTTGTTGCAACATGTGTAAACATACTGATATAGACAAGATATGCAACTCGATAACAAAGATATGTAGCTCATTTCAGTCAAAACAGCAGCATATATCTAATATATAAAAGGAGTGCACATGATCATTGGATCAATCATGAAATTTGTTAAAGTAAAAAAAAAAATTATATGCGGTTGTAAAATAAAAATTGTATTCTGGTGAAAACATTATTTCAATTGATAACAAATTTACTGTTGTAAAAAAAATAAAATAAAACATTGTATTCTCGTGAAAACATTATTTCATTTTTTACCAATAACTTGAATTGGCTTAAATCTTGTGAATGCTGACATTAATCATTCTTTTGAATGTTGTGTCATAACCCTTGGCAAAATAACAAAAAGACACTCCATAAACAAACAAAATTATTATTCAGGTTTTGAATAGGTCACATAATAGAAAAGCAGTGTCCTTTACAGAAAGTTGAACTGTTATGACGACAGTTAGCTTTCATGAAAGAAGTGAAGCACAAAAATCACTTTATGCAAAGAGGCCCCGTGATAAAGATGTAACATTTTGCTGATGGTGTGTTGTTACTTCAATATTATACGGCACCAGTCACCTGGCCAACAGTTGGAGATGGTCCCTGTCCGGATAGTATGGCTGAAGTTTGTTGTTGGTAGATTAAGATAATAATATACAGGACATGAACTTCACAAAACATTAAAATATCTGTACATAATATGTATGTACAATGACTAAAGACTAGTAAAACTAGAACAGGGGTATTAAGATTATGCAGTGGTTTTCTCAGTCTGGTATCTTGATAGGTCAGATTGTAGATATAGCCAAGCTCCTTCCCAGCGCGTGACACCTTCGTTACACTCTCCGTAACATCATTGCCACCAGTGAGCGCACGTCCATTACAAGAATCTTGAAATTTGCCCTCTTACCCCAAATGTAGTAACATTTTCACTTTAGTTTATGTCTTTGGGAATGTCATCACAGTTATTTTTTAGAAAGGTTTACAACTGACCATATTTCCCAGATGAATTTTACTTTTAGTTTGTATGATCGGATTGGTTTGAGATTGCAGAAGAATCAACCAACTTCTCCCTCATATCCTTACTATACCAATAACATGATAGTTGTAATGAAACAAAAATTCAAATTGACAAACAAAGAAAATAATTAAACTGGGATAAGAGTATTTGGCATCATGGCAGTCATCACTTGTTTGTAAACATAACTGTCACTTGGTTGCGAGTTCAACTCCAAGCATTGTTGTAGCCACCTATCACAGTGGGGAGCTTCAACTGGTGGCAGTGATAGCATTGTGAGCTCCGCAAAAGGGATATCGCTGTGAGGAGCTTGAGATATAATGGCAGGGGAAAAAATTAGGAGTTGAAACCCAACAGTTGCTTGCCACATAAAAAAATAGACATAACTTGTACTATAGCTGGACATGTGGATCAAAATCTTTACACTGTTTTGAGAACTCAGGCACAATATACATTTTTCAGGTACACAAATATTTTGTTAAAAAAATATATTCAACTCATTTGTTCTCATGAAAGCACATAGTTCAAGAAGATCCAATCTTTTCATCAGAAATGTTGGTCACTCAAGTTTCATATTCATTTTTTTTATAGAGAGCAGACCTGATTGTTCAGATCAGAATACAACACTTATCAATCCAAACCCACCCATCAAAATATTGATCCTCTACTCATAATGCATAATGCATAAAACCAAAACATGCTTTGATAACCTCAAATACTTAACCTAATATTTTATTGGACTGAAATCATCCATTTAAGAAATTCGAAATGTTTGTTTTTCTGACCTTCTAATTCTGTTTTGTCCAGAAACAGTTATTCGTCCTGCCTAGAGATAATATACACATTACATATACAGTTCACAATGCTTACATAAATTTCAACAATGATTTATAACAAATATTGTCTGATTAGATTTCTTATGATGATGCCACATGTGATATCACAAAGGAGTGGAGCTCATTAACAGGTAACCATGATAACAAGTATAGATTTAAACATACACCCTGGATAGGAGGCACCATGTTTGCTGGACAGACAATGATCACCTTCCCTTAATAAATTCAAAACACTCAACCACAACATCATTACTAGGGCATTTAGGATTCACTAAAGTTGGGATACAGACTGGGCCAGGCAAACCCTCTCAAGAGACCATGTTCTGATACAAGCAATAATTGTAGAAGATGAGATGTTCCCCTGGTCCTAACATGAATTCTACCAACCTTCCTTTGGGTACAGACAGTTGTTGTCAGACAGCTGTTGTCAAACAGGGAAGGTGCAACATCCAATTTGCTCATTTATATTGAATATTCAAAATATTCTCCATAAGGCCATAATACATCACATCCCTAGCCTCACTTTCTAATCATTTCTTCATGAAGTTCATTATCAGCTCAATTTGTATTCTACATGGATATGCAATGGTGCCGGTTACCACCACTGAAAACAAGACATCCACTCTGTCAAATGCAATCTGTCTTGAGGTGTATATATCTTTTCATGTCAAGGAAAGGACTGCAACTCTGTTTGAAATGGTGTGCCATATATACATCATAGAAATCAAATACCGTATTCGACTTAATAAGCGCCCAGGGCGCTCTCAAAATTAGAAATAGGGGGCTCTTAATAGAATGTTATTTTGGTGAAAAATATTTGAAAGATAATTTTCGTGGTTTATGCTGACAGCCTGAAATGTTTATATACGACAGGTATATTTTTCCAGAATTTAATTGCGTATTATACGCGAATAAATAAGTCTTTTGTACATTGATCAATCAGAAGGGGTGCTAATTGGGATTGTTCACCAACAAATATATTAGTAAATATCGCCGTGGGCGCTTATTAGAGCAGGGCGCTTATTACGTCGAATACGGTATGCACAATAAGCCCACAGAAAAATCCTCATAACCTTCAGTAATGTATGACAGCAGGACATGGAAGTCAGTATTTCAGAGGCTCAATGTAAGCTGATGCTTTTGTGTGGGTTTTTTTAATCAATAAATAATAGCAACAATGGGAGCAGACATGCTATTATTCTAGGGGGACCCTCTTAATAGAATCAGTTTATCAGTAACAGTATCGGGACAAACAAATCACCTTGCACAAGTTTAGACGTAAACATTTTCATCAACAGCCTCTCTTACTACAGCAAGGATCTGCAACAGACCAGTTGAACACCACTTTGAATATTATTTTCAGTTCAGATTAACCTCTTGTGAGGAAAGCCCACAATGACATTTATCACTCTTATGAACCAAAAAAACAGAAAATAGTGCTGCGAAATGAATCTTAATCAGGGCATTTTTGGATTCAAACACAGACCAGCAGATCTTGACACTGACAAGGGACACAACTCTACAGAGCCATGTGCTGTGCCGAAGAACAGTGGGCAAATCTGCCAATGTTGTTAACCTTTGAGTACCGTTCATGGTGTAAAGATCATCACTTCACAACACTCACAAGAGATGTAGACTTGTATGACCTTATTGTATACCAAGTATACAGTCTTCTGTGAAGCTACAAGAGCAGGTGAGCTGTTGAGATGATACGGCCCACTCCACTGCTTGAACACATATATATATATATGTTGATCAAAGGTTCATATGGAAAATACTATTGTGAGGTGAGGTGAAATGGGTTAAACATCGCGTCCAAGATTATTGCACTTACATAGCGACATGCGTGTACATGTGTGTGTGTAACGGCTTGTACTCGTCCGGACTGATGCCGATTTATAGTGCTAGCCCAATGAGATACCATGCTGCAGTTTTAATATGAATACCCAACTCAGACACAGAATGCTGACTCCAAGCCGACCAGTCCTTATTTTAGCTCCTTAAAACTCCAGACAGGGTAACAACAAATACCATCTTTTAACGTCTTTTGGTATGACGCGGCATGGTATCGAACCCTGAACCTTCTGCTCTCCGGGTGGACGCTCTACCAGTTGGAAAATACTGTGATTCTGCAGTGAAGAAAATGTCTGTAGACAACAGAAAAATAAGGATTTGGTATTTAGTTGTTTCAACAATCCCCATCTGGAAGCTGGAGAAGTGATGTGTAGTGGTTGAGCTGTTGTCTTGGTCCCTCATGCAGCATCTTGGTCAAGATGCCAGTCCAGAGGTGCCATTGTTGAAGTCTTGGAAGTGCAAGGTGGATGACAGGCAGTTACTGCAGAAATAAACAATGTGACAAGTGGCTAAAATATATAAAAAACAAGAGGCTTTGAGAATGAGTGGGCAAACCATGCTTCAGGAATATTACAAAATTATCCCTGCTACATGGACCAGACAAACCAGTGGAGGACGGTGTGAGCAACCTCTAATATTGTCAGTGTATAATGACACACTATCACTAAATAACCAGTGGAGGTCGGTGTGAGCAACCTCTAATATTGTCAGAGTATAATGACTATCACACAATAACCAGTGGAGGTCGGTGTGAGCAACCACTAATATTGTCAGTGTATAATGACACACTATCACACAATAACCAGTGGAGGTCGGTGTGAGCAACCTCTAATATTGTCAGTGTATAATGATACACTATCACTAAATAACCAGTGGAGGTCGGTGTGAGCAACCTCTAATATTGTCAGAGTATAATGACTATCACACAATAACCAGTGGAGGTCGGTGTGAGCAACCACTAATATTGTCAGTGTATAATGACACACTATCACACAATAACCAGTGGAGGTCGGTGTGAGCAACCTCTAATATTGTCAGAGTATAATGACACACTATCACACAATAACCAGTGGAGGTCGGTGTGAGCAACCACTAATATTGTCAGTGTATAATGACACACTATCACACAATAACCAGTGGAGGTCGGTGTGAGCAACCTCTAATATTGTCAGAGTATAATGACAAACTATCACACAATAACCAGTGGAGGTTGGTGTGAGCAACCACTAATATTGTCAGTGTATAATGACACACTATCACACAATAACCAGTGGTGGACGGTGTGAGCAACCACTAATATTGTCAGAGTATAATGACACACTATCACACAATAACCAGTGGAGGACGGTGTGAGCAACCACTAATATTATCAGAGTATTATGACAAACTATCACACAATAACCAGTGGAGGACAGTGTGAGCAACCACTAATATTGTCAGAGTATAATGACACACAATCACACAATAACCAGTGGAGGACGGTGTGAGCAACCTCTAATATTGTCAGAGTATAATGACACACTATCACACAATAACCAGTGGAGGACGGTGTGAGCAACCACTATTGTCAGAGTATAATGACACCCTATCACACAATAACCAGTGGAGGACGGTGTGAGCAACCTCTAATATTGTCAGTGTATAATGACACACTATCACACAATAACCAGTGGAGGTCGGTGTGAGCAACCTCTAATATTGTCAGAGTATAATGACACACTATCACACAATAACCAGTGGAGGACGGTGTGAGCAACCACTAATATTATCAGAGTATTATTAAACTATAATGACACACTATCACACAATAACCAGTGGAGGACGGTGTGAGCAACCAGTAATATTGTCAGTGTATAATGACACACTATCACACAATAACCAGTGGAGGACGGTGTAAGCAGCCTCTCATATTGTCAGAGTATAATGACACACTATCACACAATTACCAGTGGAGGACGGTGTGAGCAACCTCTAATATTGTCAGAGTATAATGACACACTATCACACAATAACCAGTGGAGGACGGTGTGAGCAACCACTAATATTGTCAGTGTATAATGACACACTATCACACAATAACCAGTGGAGGACGGTGTGAGCAACCTCTAATATTGTCAGAGTATAATGACAAACTATCACACAATAACCAGTGGAGGACGGTGTGAGCAACCTCTAATATTGTCAGAGAATAATGACACACTATCACACAATAACCAGTGGAGGACTGTGTGAGCAGCCTCTAATATTGTCAGAGAATAATGACACACTATCACACAATAACCAGTGGAGGACGGTGTGAGCAACCTCTAATATTGTCAGAGTATAATGACTATCACACAATAACCAGTGGAGGTCGGTGTGAGCAACCACTAATATTGTCAGTGTATAATGACACACTATCACACAATAACCAGTGGAGGTCGGTGTGAGCAACCACTAATATTGTCAGTGTATAATGACACACTATCACACAATAACCAGTGGAGGTCGGTGTGAGCAACCTCTAATATTGTCAGTGTATAATGACACACTATCACACAATAACCAGTGGAGGTCGGTGTGAGCAACCACTAATATTGTCAGTGTATAATGACACACTATCACACAATAACCAGTGGAGGTCGGTGTGAGCAACCACTAATATTGTCAGTGTATAATGACACACTATCACTAAATAACCAGTGGAGGTCGGTGTGAGCAACCTCTAATATTGTCAGAGTATAATGACTATCACACAATAACCAGTGGAGGTCGGTGTGAGCAACCACTAATATTGTCAGTGTATAATGACACACTATCACACAATAACCAGTGGAGGTCGGTGTGAGCAACCTCTAATATTGTCAGAGTATAATGACACACTATCACACAATAACCAGTGGAGGTCGGTGTGAGCAACCACTAATATTGTCAGTGTATAATGACACACTATCACACAATAACCAGTGGAGGTCGGTGTGAGCAACCTCTAATATTGTCAGAGTATAATGACAAACTATCACACAATAACCAGTGGAGGTTGGTGTGAGCAACCACTAATATTGTCAGTGTATAATGACACACTATCACACAATAACCAGTGGAGGACGGTGTGAGCAACCACTAATATTGTCAGAGTATAATGACACACTATCACACAATAACCAGTGGAGGACGGTGTGAGCAACCACTAATATTATCAGAGTATTATGACAAACTATCACACAATAACCAGTGGAGGACAGTGTGAGCAACCACTAATATTGTCAGAGTATAATGACACACAATCACACAATAACCAGTGGAGGACGGTGTGAGCAACCTCTAATATTGTCAGAGTATAATGACACACTATCACACAATAACCAGTGGAGGACGGTGTGAGCAACCACTATTGTCAGAGTATAATGACACCCTATCACACAATAACCAGTGGAGGACGGTGTGAGCAACCTCTAATATTGTCAGTGTATAATGACACACTATCACACAATAACCAGTGGAGGTCGGTGTGAGCAACCTCTAATATTGTCAGAGTATAATGACACACTATCACACAATAACCAGTGGAGGACGGTGTGAGCAACCACTAATATTATCAGAGTATTATTAAACTATAATGACACACTATCACACAATAACCAGTGGAGGACGGTGTGAGCAACCAGTAATATTGTCAGTGTATAATGACACACTATCACACAATAACCAGTGGAGGACGGTGTGAGCAGCCTCTCATATTGTCAGAGTATAATGACACACTATCACACAATTACCAGTGGAGGACGGTGTGAGCAACCTCTAATATTGTCAGAGTATAATGACACACTATCACACAATAACCAGTGGAGGACGGTGTGAGCAACCTCTAATATTGTCAGTGTATAATGACACACTATCACACAATAACCAGTGGAGGACGGTGTGAGCAACCTCTAATATTGTCAGAGTATAATGACAAACTATCACACAATAACCAGTGGAGGACGGTGTGAGCAACCTCTAATATTGTCAGAGTATAATGACAAACTATCACACAATAACCAGTGGAGGGCGGTGTGAGCAACCATTAATATTGTCAGAGTATAATGACACACTATCACACAATAACCAGTGGAGGACGGTGTGAGCAACCTCTAATATTGTCAGAGTATAATGACAAACTATCACACAATAACCAGTGGAGGACGGTGTGAGCAACCTCTCATATTGTCAGAGTATAATGACAAACTATCACACAATAACCAGTGGAGGACGGTGTGAGCAACCTCTAATATTGTCAGTGTATAATGACACACTATCACACAATAACCAGTGGAGGACGGTGTGAGCAACCTCTAATATTGTCAGTGTATAATGACACACTATCACACAATAACCAGTGGAGGACGGTGTGAGCAACCTCTAATATTGTCAGAGTATAATGACACCCTATCACACAATAACCAGTGGAGGACGGTGTGAGCAACCTCTAATATTGTCAGAGTATAATGACAAACTATCACACAATAACCAGTGGAGGACGGTGTGAGCAACCTCTAATATTGTCAGAGTATAATGACACACTATCACACAATAACCAGTGGGGGACGGTGTGAGCAACCTCTAATATTGTCAGAGTATAATGACAAACTATCACACAATAACCAGTGGAGGGCAGTGTGAGCAACCTCTAATATTGTCAGAGTATAATGACAAACTATCGTCACAGTTGAGAGTTGAACCTCCCTGGGCGACCTCCTTGAAACACACGTCTTACTCAGCCTCCCATATGATCACCCAATCCAATTTAGTCGTCTCTTTAGACAAGCAAGGTGTGTGAGTGATTAAGGTTTAGTGCTTTCATCAGTTTTTCAGTTAAATTACAGTGTTCTGACAGCATATTTCAGATTACATATGGCCACTACAGGCCAGACAGACAGACAGACAGACAGACAGACAGACACTCTATCCACGAGACTATGGAAGAACCATACATACTTCACGGGGGCATCTGTACATAACACTTCTCATTTCACAAATACATCCACATCATTAACCTTTCAGTTCTTTGCACAAATTCTGCCTAAGCTTAGAAATCGTTTAGTGAGTGAAGCTACCTCAATGAGTTTGACTAAGTCCTTGTAGTTATGTTGATGATGAGGGCGCCGGGAGTACTTGAGACACAGGTCATCGCCAAGCTTGTCGATGATGTCCAAGGCCTGCAGATCACACAAGAACCAAACAGTCAGTGAAGGAGTGAAATCATACTACACGAATGGTACTGTAATATTACGGCAATAGTAGGTCAGCCAGGTATCACATTGTAACCATCTGATCCTTCTTTTTGTAAGCCTATGTGATAAGCATGGGGAGCTGAGGACCTATTCTGTTGTGGAATCTCCACTGGGAGACAAACACATGGAAGCAAAGGGACCTTCTTACCCAAGCACCACCACAGGAAGACAAGCATGGGTCTCTCTCCTGAGACGTGGTGGTGGAGCTTTCTACCCTGGAATAACCACAGGAACTGGACAGCTGTTTAACTACATACCTAAGGAAGACAAACACTGGTGGTATGGGACACCTATTCTCCCTGAGCATCATACAGGGAGACAAGAATGATGGCATTGAGAACCTACTCTGCCCAAGAATGGAACAAAGAGAAGGAAACAAGGATGCAATGTAGCAAACATTTCCAGACATTCATGTATACATACAAACTACCTTGTAACCCAAGTCATCTTAACAACTGACATGATACATACACAATAAAACCGAAGTGTCAAGAGCATACAGCATGAGTAACAAAGCGCTACATTCCCCACAACTTACTTTGTCCAGCATCTCTTTGGTGTGAGCGGCAGACAGACAGAACCTGGCTCGAGATTCAATGAGAGGAGTAGCTGGGAATCCAACCACCACAATACCCAGCCCACGCTCTAAGGCCATTCTATTGAAGGCACTGCAACAAAGGAATACCTTCAGTTGTGTTTCTGAGGCTAAAGATCATTCTAAACAAAAATTCATTCCTTTTTTCAAAACATAAACATAGAAACCTACTTGACAGAGAGTTGCATATAATAACATGTTTTACAAGGAAGTGATTTACATGAGGTTGTGGCACTACATTACTTACGCCATTTTGGATGGTAAGAAGACAAGCACAGGCACAACTGGAGAATCCTTATTGCCATAGACAATGAAGCCCATGTCTTGGAGTCTGCGACGGAAGTAGCGGACGTTCCAAGCTAGCTGTCGGACACGTTTCTCACCTGAGGACAAACAAGAAACACCTATTGAGACTGTCCAGAAGTATCAAGCTCCCAGGGAAAACAAACTAGCATCAATCATGATGCAGGTGTCAGAAATTTACCACTTTGATGAAACACACAAGAACAGGTACCGGGCTGACAAACCAAAAAGAAACATAATCATGGTGAATCTGGGATTTGAGCCCACGATCATAGGAACAATAATTATCATTGTTAATAAGTCTAAGAATACTACTGCTATTACATGGTGGAAAAATTCCAGTAGGTTGGCTGCCATCACACTATAACTAAAACAGAAGTCAACTACACACAACTAGTTCAGCTTGCAAAGGCGGGAAAAACCTTACTTCTTTCCCAAACATGTATCAACTGATCAGATTGAAGGGGAGGTGGGTGCAAGTACTTCTGATATAATAGAGGTAGTATTCTTATAATTATTAACAAAATTAACTAGTGTTCCTATCATTCTTATGAATCCTCTACCTCTATTACATTATTGCCAGAATGTACCAAAGTTATAGGCAGGCCCTGCCTCTAGAGACTCCTCCTAGTGTAGTTGACAGTTGACATCAAATCTTCTGTGATTCTATAGTTGTTTCTAAACCAAAAGGTATAACTAACTATAAATCACCTCAAGAGGACTTGAAAACTACATGAATCAAGACAAATATATGGTACCTTCACAAGAATTACCGTTATATTTGCTTTTATGCATGTAAATCACATCGTTAGATGTTCTAACATCATGGCTCAGACCATCATTTCCAGACATCACTTCTGGTCCGACCATTCTTCTGGTCCAATATGATGTCATTCCGGTTTGTGACATCACTTTTGGTCTATGATGTCACTTTTGGTCTATGATGTCACTTTTGGTCTATGATGTCACTGTTGGTCTATGATGTCATTCCGGTTTGTGACATCACTTTTGGTCTATGTCACTTTTGGTCTATGATGTCACTTTTGGTCTATGATGTCACTTTTGGTCCATGATGTCACTTTTGGTCTATCATATCACTTTTGGTCCATGATGTCACTTTTAGTCAATGATGTCACTTTCAGTTATGACATCAGCACCAGTCACTTTCAGACGATGACGTCCCATCCAGTTGTTACGTCACTTTTGGTCCATGATGTCACTTTCAGACGATGTCGTCCCATCCAGTTGTTACGTCACTTTTGGTCCATGACGTCACTTTTGGTCCATGATGTCACTTTCAGAGATGACATCACTTCTGGTTCAATGCCCCTGGCATTTCTTGCTCTCAGTTATTAACTCTTTCAACACTGTAGGCCGGTACAACGGCCAAGAAGCCTCAAGTCCCCAGACACTGTGACCAGTAGACCGGCCAAGCGATAGTCACGGCAAAATAGTATATAATTTATTAACCTACCTGTGATATCATTCATTCATTAAATCTATCACATTTCACAATGTCTGAAATACGTATTCCATTTCAATTTATCATTTTTTATCTATAGATTTCACTATTTCCCGCAATGTTATTGAAAATAGAATTCTCAGACACACACTGCGACAACGGGTCCACATCGAACATGTCAAAGAGCAAAATATAGACATTTCAAGTAAATCTTTAAATATAGTATACAAAGTAATAAATAAAATCAACAAAAATATATATAAAAGTTGTCAAACTTACATCTAAATTATTATTTCCATCTTTTTCATGCGATCGCGTGTTGTCAAATGACATCTCGGCTTTCTCAGCTCGGACATGATGTTTAATGCCAAAATATAGGCATGAAAAATCTGTCACAGCTTGTAACTAATATAGATCTCGATTTCCTGCTTAAAACGTTCAGAATAAAACGATTTAACAAAAATCTTTCGTCAAAATATCTGAAATTCATCATACACAAGGACGTAACCATAGCTGTAATTTGATTGGCTGCCTTAGGTCACATGCTCAAATTTGACCAATCACAAACCTTGTACCAGATTTCGGCAATAAAGCTTCATTAGAATCAATATTTATCCAATAAAATCTCGTGTTACAAGCTACGAATAGACTTCAGGTGATGTTACGAACGTGTAGATGAAAAGACAAGCTTTCTCGGGAAAGCCGCTGTTATCGGGAAATGGGTGATGACAGATACTATTTATAATTCTTTTTATAACAATAAATAAATGTTGATTATTAACGTAAACAATGAAAATATATAAGAAATAACATAGTGGATTTTATTAATTCTTATATTTGCCAAAAATCGTCAAATTTTTGCTTCCTCGATCCTCAATCTGGACATTATGAATGTGTTAGCTTACATTTTTTGATTTGCAAAGAACTTAATTAAGTTGTAAATGCATTATTTAAACAATGTCATAAACATATTTATAAACAACAGGATAAGACCTTTCAATTGGTGTATAATATGTAGTAGCAAAGCTGTTTTACAATCAGATATTTTCTTTGATAAATGTTGGCTTCATCTATCACACATGAGTCTCTGGGAAGTTGGTGTCACAGCAGTCATTGCTTCTGGTTGACTGGTGTTGAAAGAGTTCAGATAATCAAGTAGTTTTACCTACCTTCTGGAACTTGAGGTCGTCCATATGGACTCCTCAAACTGTTTCGGACGTGATGTGTAAGCAGATGCTGTTTGGGTGTACGAAATAGCAAAGGAATACCGCTCATAACATGAGATTACCAGTTGAGTTCCTGACTTAAGATGTCTGGTATTTGGTTGAGAGAATCCATGGGCTAAGATCTCAACAAATTTACCCAATTCTGGAATAGGCGTAATATCAGTCTTCCTCTGTACGTCATATTCTGGAGAGACATTAAATTCCCTAGAAGATCGTGTGGGTTGAGATGTTACCATGCTAAGCATCGTCAATGTCTTGGCATAACAATCTTCTGGGGGTCAGATATGTCGGATTTGTAACTGGAAACGGGCACCAATGTTCACTATGATAAGTCATCAGCTGGATCAAGAAGATCTTGTTCTGTTTGAGCGGGGATCCGTCTTGATCTGCCATTAAGAAGTCATCTAGATATTCGTGTAGACGAACTAGCTTTAGATTGGGTAAACTGGTAATGGGATTTGTGACTGGTGAATAGCCAAGGTGCTACAGAAATCCCAAATGAAAGAACTTGGAATTCATACTTTCTTTTGTTGACTGCAAAGCAGGATTTTTCTGTGATGCTTCTTAAATACCGACATGGAGATAGATGTCTTGCAGATCTAGACTGATAAGTGCAAATTTCCCGTTCTGAGGCTTGAACATAACTTCCATACTGATTCAATCTGGAACTTGGGAGGAGGGACAAGGAAGGGTTCATTGAGGACCTTAAGACATATAATCATCCTCATGTCATTCTTCGGGACTAAGAGCCTTTGAGTAGGGGAGTAGGAACCCTTGAGGTCATCTGAGTCTTGATGGCTCCGAATGGCATTTTTTCCTAAAAGTGTCCCAGTGACTAGGTTGGTTTCCTGTAATTTGGTCTCTCTCAGATAGAATCTTTGGCCTACTAGCCAGGATACAAGTAGAGGATGATGACAAAAATGTAGCTTGTATCCCCTCGAAATGATGCTGAGAATCCAGTGGTCGGATGTGATCTACTTCCAATTTTTGGCATATGACAAAAGACGCCCTCATACTGGAGACTGAGTGGGTTGTATGTTGACAGTCGGTGGGCAATCAATTGGAGTCAGAAGAGAAGAAGAACAGGTCTATTGGATCAGTTACGACTGGATGGTTTGGTAGTGCAGTCAGAATCTGTGGTCACTCTGACCTCTAGGTCTAGAATCTCTGCTATTTCCATGTCCTTTATTGTCAGTCTGACGTGAGGACTCTAATGGCTTCTGAGCTCTATCTCTTCTGCGGACGGCTTGAAATGAATCCTATTTCTAGCAGGTTTCCTATCTCGGGATGAATCTCGTGGAAACTTAGGAGGGAATGACGCCATGTGCTTTAACTGCCAATAATTAAAATCATTCTGTGGTATCCTGTCACACTTCAATGATCATGATCATGTTCAGCTTGTCGTTGACCAATTAGGTGCCTCACTCTGACAGTGTGGGCTGGAATCCCGGATGTGACTCAACACAATAAAGTACTAGAATCTGTACTTTACTAAGAAAGTGTTATCCCAAATATAACATTTGTTCTACAGTTTTCTTAATTTGTTAAAAGCTGACTTTAAAAGGGAGGTGCACTGCTAGCAACACTTGTCCTCAACACAGAGGTCATCCCAGAACATCAAGCAGGAAGGATGAGGGTCTCCAGTAATCAGGAAATGCCCATAAACACAAGTATGTACTTACATTAGTACCAGTCAATATAACCACTTACCCAGAATACTTCTCAATTAGTTGAACAATGTAATACAACTAAAAAATGAATATAGCTAGATTTAGTGTGAGTGCACAACCCAAGTACTAAAGAATTGAGGCTGTGAAAAGTTGATGTTCACTCTAGCACACACAGGAAAGAATGGAGGATTTACCCACCATTGCAATCTGAAGAGCTGTAAGCCTATTGGTGCTAATGCAGTAACAACTAGTTGTGTGTAATTGATAGTGAAGAGGACTTCTGTTGAAAATCTGAAGATTTAGTTATAGTGTGATTACAGCCAAAATACGGGAATTTGGCAATGATGTAATACTATAGAGGTAGAGGTTCGTAAGAATTATTGGTTTCTTGCACCCTTAAGGGATGCAACTCATGCATCATGAACTGTCGTGCCTTAAGACGACTGGGCCATTTATTGCCTCCATCAACTGAAATAAGATTGAAGGATGAGTTTAAAATCACATATCACATTGTGTCAGATAAATGTTGGAGTAGAAGAATAGGTCTTCAGCAACCCATGCTTGTCGTAAAAGGCGACTATGCTTGTCGTAAGAGGCAACAAACGGGATCGGGTGGTCAGGCTCGGTGACTTGGTTGATACATGTCATCGTATTCCAATTGCATGGATCAGTGCTCATGACATCAATCACTGGATTGTCTGGTCCAGACTCGATTATTTACAGACAGCTGTCATATAGCTGGAATATTGCTCAGTGCGATAATAAACAACAAACAAACTCCAGAGAAGAAAAAATAAACTGTAGAAGAAAGAACAAGGACAGGTATGGTGCTGACATACCATGGATCATAATGGATTGAGTGAATCTGAGACATGAACCTTTCACCAGCAGATCCTCACACAGATAGGGGACACAACTCTTTCCAGCCGAATGTCGTGTCTCAGACAACAGGACCCCATGACAAAATTTAGAAAACAAACAAATGCAGAAGTTGACCTACCAAGGTTAGTTCCATCTTTGCCCATGATAATCTTCGTGGAGTGGATGACCTGCCTGGCTATGGGAGGGGAGATGGCACAAGCATAGATGGCGCTATGGGAGTTCACTTTTAAGTGATTGATGAGGCTCTGGAATCAACACATACAGTAAGAAGTGGGTGAGTTTGTGTATTTCAAAGTAAACGAATGCTGGATGTACGGATGTATATTGCTGAAACAAACACGATGGGTTTTATCCCTTGGCCAATTGTTGGACAGGTAGGAAGTCACTGTTCATGGTAGTAGATGGTAGTCATAAAAGGCTCGTTACAGACATTAATTGCTATTTTAATTATTCACAATGTCAAGATCAAAGGTCGTTTCACACACTCAGCAATGTATGCAAGGTTACTTTTGTAGGATTAACAGAAACAGCAACACTTTTAGATTGACCGCTTCCTGACGTATGTGTATATCTGCCGAGTACTACAGTCTTAGGCATGCCCCCAAATAGTCTTGTTTTGGAATCTGATTATGAGTGTGTAATTTCAACACTTTCACCTGACCATTTAATACTTTCGCAACAAAATCACAAACATTTATTTCACTTTACTTGTCCTTTTAGGGCAAAATAAATAGCTTTCATTTCCTGGCAATTTATGTAAAGGACTTGATCCTCCCGAGACCATTCTCCCTGGATCATGAGATCGTCCATGTGAGCTCCCCAGTGTGTGTTTGAGGCATCAGTGTACAGTTATGTACTGGAGGGGGACACATGACTGAAATGCCTGGCATTACATAGTGATGGCCACCATTTCAGGTGTAAGAGCCTGGAGGTCGGAGGTTGATCTCGTCCAGATCGTGAATAGATCAGTCTCTATCTTTTTCAAAAATAATCCCGGTAGCTCTAGGAGTGAGTGAGTGAGTATGGTTTAACGCCGCTTTTAGCAATATTCCAGCAATATCACGGCGGGGGACACCAGAAATGGGCTTCACACATTGTACCCATGTCGGGAATCGAACCCGGGTCTTCGGCGTGACGAGCGAATGCTTTAACCACTAGGCTCCCCGACCGCCCCGGTAGCTCTAGGAGAGGAATTGAGTGTGTAAGGCATGTGGTGTATCACACGAGCCACATGAATAACTGTAGCACTCGGGGAAGACAAATCTGCACAAGAAATAGTCGCAGACCTTGGACAAAGTTGTAGAATCCTCTGTTCTGATACATCCTTATAAATATCATACACAACCCTAGGTTAGTAACAGTGTGGTTATCCTGATTCAGTGATGGTGTTCTATTCTTAACCGACAGTCTGGTTTGTGAAACACACATGATTCACATGAATAGCAGTAATCCTCATATATTTGTCATCAAGAGACAAGTCTGCTCGTGTGACTGTACTCCTGTCAGGGAAAGGAACATGAGATCTAACCATATCTGCAACATTATCCTTGTGAAACGCCTTGGGAATGGCTCATTCCACATATCTGTTACTTGACGTAACTTGCACAGATTGTGCTCTCTCAAGAGAAGCATGTGTATTTAGGGGAATGAACGGTACATTCAGAGCTATTGAGTTAGCTTGTTTGTCTACTTAATCCTTTGAACTTTTCAGCACAGTGATGTCTTGTTTAATAGGCGATACTTCCTTGTGAATGAGTTTGCTGAATGTCATCGCAATAGCTGACTCATGCTTTGTGTTGCTTTCATGAACTGTTCAATGTAAAAGGGGCCAGGGGCCAGGGGCCAGGGGCCTCCGGGGTCACCGACACCAGCAGCCTGCCCAAGGCAACTCCAGTACACCTGGAGAATCCATTCTCAGGCACACTAACAGACCCTTGATCTTCCTAAAAAGATCTTGCGAGATGATGTTTAACTTATAGATTGTTAATTTACTGTGAAAAACCTTAAGATAATTATCAGTGGAAGAATAAACCAAAAACTTGTGACTTGGATAACTGGGAAAAAAGATTTCACACAGAAAAAAGTGTTGAATTCCTGACTCCTCATTAGATACATAACTGACAATGAAGAGGACATCTATTGAAAAATCTTAAGATTTTTATAGTGTCAGTTTAGCCAGAACGGAAATTATGGCTATGATGTAATAAAGGTAGGGTATTTAAAGGAATTTACTGTATCTCTCGGTCTGATCATTTGTCTCATCTCTCATGACCATTTTACAAAATATGTTCTTGTGTAACTCCTTGAAACCAACCTTCGTTCCTCCAATGTATCCTCCAGATGAACCAAAGCTCTTGGTGAATGTACCCATCAACACATCCACGTCTCGTGGGTCAACATTGAAGTAGTCTACGACACCGCGGCCGTGGGGCCCCATGGCTCCGATACTGTGGGCCTCATCCAGGTATATGTATGCCTTGTACTTCTTCTTAAGGGCGACAATGTCAGGGAGTCGCACTATTGATCCTTCCATACTGAAAACAGAGGAAACTGTACTGCAGGCTGGGGGGAAGTATGAGAGCTGAGAACCCAAGGTCCCTTCATTGTACATAGTTGTTGTTTAACATCTATCAGCAATATTCCAGCTTACCGGTAAATAACTGAATCAGCAGAAGCTGAGCCAGGCAACCTGGCGGTTGATGACATGATCAACACCGAGGTAGGATGACATGATCAACACCGAGGTAGGATGACATGATCAACACCGAGGTAGGATGACATGATCAACACCGAGGTAGGATGACATGATCAACACCGAGGTAGGATGACATGATCAACACCGAGGTAGGATGACATGATCAACACCGAGGTAGGATGACATGATCAACACCGAGGTAGGATGACATGATCAACACCGAGGTAGGATGACATGATCAACACCGAGGTAGGATGACATGATCAACACCGAGGTAGGATGACATGATCAACACCGAGGTAGGATGACATGATCAACACCGAGGTAGGATGACATGATCAACACCGAGGTAGGATGACATGATCAACACCGAGGTAGGATGACATGATCAACGCGAAAGGTATGACGACATGATCAACGCTAAAGGTATGACGATATGATCAACGCTAAAGGTATGACGATATGATCAACGCTAAAGGTATGAAGACATGATCAACGCTAAAGGTATGAAGACATGATCAACGCTAAAGGTATGATGACATGATCAACGCAAAAGGTATGACGACATGATCAACGCTAAAGGTATGACGACATGATCAACGCTAAAGATATGAAGACATGATCAACGCTAAAGGTATGAAGACATGATCAACGCTAAAGGTATGAGGACATGATCAACGCGAAAGGTATGAGGACATGATCAACGCGAAAGGTATGACGACATGATCAACGCTAAAGGTATGACGACATGATCAACCCTGACCACCTAATTCCAATTTTAGAAGGCTCTTAAGAGAAGGATTGCCAGTTTGCCAAGTCTCCCTATACTTTTTCCAGGTCATCCATTATGCCTACTGCAAATCATGAACATGTGCTTGCCTCGACCTCCCATGTCCTTAGACTACCTGATATACTGTATAATGCAAAGGTTTGCACAGATATTGGTGCACAAAGTTTTCCATTAAGATACACAGTAGTTACCTGTACACCCCTTCCACAACAATGAGTATTTTCTTCCATGGCCGGTGAGTACGAGGCTGCCCATGGACCACAGCGTCACACAATTTCTTTTCCAAATCTTTCATGTCTGAAAGACCCAACATTTGTGTACTGCATCAATACAAATTAAAGCAACAAATAACAACATCACAAAACACATCTTCTGTTCCCTATCTATGAGTGAGGCAAGTTAAAACTTTGATTTCAAGATCATGCCACTAACATAGTGACCTGCATAAGAGTGAGTGAGTGATTTGGGTTTAACGCCGCTTTTAACAGTATTCCAGTTATATCGCGGCATGTCAGCTTAATGTGGGAGGAAAGCCCGAAGTGATGCAGGTCTCAGACGTTTACCACTTAGGTGAAACCCACGAGCACGGGTATGGTGCTGACAAACCTAGAAACATAATTTGGGTGAACCGGGATTCAAACCCACAACCATAGGTTTCTGGCGTACCCAAGGGACGCAACTCTGCACAGCGAATCGCGGCGCCTTAGACGACTGGGCCACCCGTGCCCCCTTGGTGGATATGGACAAGTATACGTTCTAGGGTAAAGAATTGGCTACAATCCCTGTCAGACACAAAATACTGACTCTTTGCCGACCAGTCCTAGTTTCATCCCCTTAATGCCGACCGCCATGCAGTGTAACAACAAGTACTGGTACCACTTTTAACATCTTTTGGTATGACACGGACCATGCAGACAGGGAATTTAACCATCCACCTTCCACACTCCAGACAGATGCTCTATCCACTACACATATTTGAGAATGGTTTTGTCCTGCTTTTAGCAACATTCCAGTAACATCATGATTGAGGGCAAGTCTTGCACCATATGGGGAACAAACCCCGGGCTAACAAGCCAACTGTTCAATAACCAGGTGCCCGTTTCACAAAGCAATCGTAACACTATGACTGTCGTAACTCCCATAAATTAACATAGACTTACGACAGTCATAGCGCTGTGATTGCTTTGTGGAACGAGGCCAAGGCTTCCCAATCAATAAAGGGAGTTGATATGGATTAGTATAATTTCTAGAATTGGCTACGATGTTATCATCGTGTGAACATTTTTTTCCCAGTTATCCAAGTCACAAGTTTTTGGTTTATTCTTCCACTGATAATTATCTGAAGGTTTTTCACAGTAAATTAACAATCTATAAGTTAAACATCACCTCACAAGATCTTTTAAGTAAAATCTAGGGATAAATGAAAATACATTAATGGCTGCATATTGGTGTTCAATGTGCTTAAGTGAAGATATTTAAAAAAAAAGAGTGGAAACATTTAACATTTTTACATACAATTTTTTTTATGAATTGCATGTTTTGTGACAATTGATAATGGATACTGTACTTACAATTGATTACAGTCACAACAGACGAATGATCAAGCACCAAGGACCGATAATATTCACTGATGATCCCCAATAATTACTTACTGTTGTGCTTGTACACCCGGATTGTGGCACCACTGAGGCGCGAGCCCAGCACCAGGGAGGCGTGGTTCAGCTCATCACTCAGGATGAGGCACCCCTGCAACAACCACACACAACTGTTCTGAAGACCTCTGTATGTACATGCAACACCTACATTTGTAAACTGAAACTACTTATTTTCAAGGTATGAAGTTTGGCATTTGTGATAGAACTGAGGGATTTGTCTGCAGGCAGTACAGGTCTTCTGAATACTCACTATCACATGTCAAGATTGGCTGCCATTTTCTGCAAGTTAAAAAACCAAAAGGTTGTTGTAAAGAATCAACAATGATGTTGACTGCAGACCTGTCTATTGCTCACTAACCTTATCCATGAGGGCAGGCATATTCATAGAGTTGGTGGCGAAGCCCATTGGGAAGGTGACAGCCGCCTCGACTCCCAGGAATTCAGCCATCAACTCATCCAGTTCCTTGTGAATTTCCAAATAACCTGACAGCAGAAGAGCAATAACCCATTTAATTGGTTTATAGTTTCAAGAAGAAAGGACATACCAGGTAATATATTTCAGCTGTTCTTTCTCCATACAAACTCACCTAGTTCCTGTCTCCTGGCACACACACCCACCCCCTCCTCCATACAACTCACCTAGTTCCTATCTCCTGGCACACACGCCCACCCCCTCCTCCATACAATTCACCCAGTTCCTATCTACTGGCAAACACCCCCACCCCCTCCTTCATACTACAACTCACCCAGTTCCTGTCTACTGGCACACATGCCCCCCCTTTCCTCCATACAACTCACCCAGTTCTTCTTTACTGTCACACACACCCACCCCTTCCTCCATAAAACTCACCCAGTTCCTGTCTATTGGCACACACACCCTCTCCCTCCTCCATACAACTCACCCAGTTCCTGTCTACTGGCACACCCACCCCTCCTCCATACAACTCACCCAGTTCCTGTCTACTGGCACACATGCCCACCCCCTCCTTCATACTACAACTTACCAAGTTCCTGTCTACTGGCACACACACCCACCCCCTCCCACATACAACTCACCCAGTTCCTGGCTACTGGCACACACGTCCAACCCCTCCTCCATACAACTCACCCAGTTCCTGTGTACTGGCACACCCACCCACCCCCTCCCACATACAACTCACCCAGTTCCTGTCTACTGGCACACACACCCACCCCCTCTATACAACTCACCCAGTTCCTGTCTACTGGCACACACGCCCACCCCTTCTTCCAAGGTTGTGACCTGACAGGCATCAGCGCAGGGTCCCTTGTTCTCCGCAAAACCCAGGTAATTGTATGACCCAAAGTTCATTGCAGGTATTTTCCTGCCAGTAAGTCTGAAATTGGCAAATAATGCTTTACCACAGAAGTAAACACAAACTCTTCTAACAAAATATCAAATGATAAGCTATCAATGCTTTCAATGTATCAATGGTTTAACTGGAAATTGTTTGCTCATTATATCAATCACTGTATTGTCTGACCCAGATTCAAATATTTATGGGCTACCATCATAAAGCTGTGTAGCCTGCAACCTCAGGGTATCGCGGTACTTGTCATGTATGCTGAACGGAACAAAATGCACTCACTAACCGTTATGATTATTCGTGTTCTCTATATCAGATATCATTTATTTGATCTAACAATGCATATTTTACTAATAAAAGTTCATTATTTACATTAGTAGCTCCGAGTAAAAGACGGGCCTCGCGCTCAGATTGACAAGGGAGAGAACTCCATCGTATCGCGGTACAGAGAAAAGTTGTGTATGGAGGTCCGAATTGGACAAAAAGAGGACATAATTCTACCAACCACTTAGTATGATCGTGCCAGATATCAGTGATTTGTCCAGACAAGTGCAAAGACAGCACAAGTAAAATTCGGAATGGGTTATCTGTAATAGGTATTCCATGCATGTTTACAGAAAAGTAAGAGAAAAGAATTTTAAAAATCAAAAACCAAATATCAGAAATGATATTCTAAGATTATTTATAAAAAAAAATTGGATGACAATAATTTGTCACATAATGGAAAAATGTTAAACGTTAACAATAAATATATAAGAAAACACTCCTAGTATGCCCAAAGTATGTATTCATCTTTTGGCTACTAGTGAAGAACGTATTTCTAAGTTTGGCATTATGGCCCTTATGATCTCCCAATAGTTTCTGGACACAGAGCGGGAAAAAATGTGCGGACTACGTAACTTCCGTTACCTTATTAGTCGCCATGAATATCCAGATGATCTAGTTCAGGTCGATAGAGAAAGTTTACTTGGGGAACTGTGGGTTATATTGTTGGCCATTGATAGATGGGGGTAAGGCAATATTACAAAAGATGCCAGAAATATGTATCAACGCATTAATAACTCCTTACTTACAGCAGACGGAACATTCCGAGTAAATTGAAATTGTTTACAAAGTGAGCACTTCCTGGTTACTGATTAGCATTAATAGACAGCTGCTAAGAGGCGTGTCCCGCGTGAACTACCGGAAATCACAAATGCCGCGATACGATGAATGCCGCGGTACCATGGGGTCCGAGTATACATAGTGCATTTTAAAATCTCTCATGAAAGCTCAATTAACTTACTCAAAGTTCCAGCCATAGTCATGTGTGACCAACTCCATTACTTCAAAGTTGGCCCCTGCACAGCTGGCTATTGGTCGCATCCAGCAATCCTTGATACGGCGGAATACATTCTTTTTATAAAAACTCTCCCAACTGGCATACAGTGGAACAAAGTCCTGCAGGAGAGAAACACAATAACATCAAATATTCATCAACATGTCTCGGCAAGCACACAAAATATAAATATTTTATTTTTTGCTAAAGGCATCTGAAGCAAACAAGCATGTTAAAAGCACTAGGCTCCAGTCTGTTGTCCATAATCAGTCTAGGCCTAGATGTATAAATTATTGTCTGGCGTGAAAATGGTGAAAATGAGTCATTATCTCTCAGTGGGTAATAAGGAAATTACTAACCATGCTAACTGTTTGATTGATATACAACCCGGAAGTTGTCAACATATGGTTGACTAGGTTTTACGAGAAACAATTGCATACTATATGCTGAAAAATAAAGAATGGCTGCAAATGATATCCCCCTGCATATCATCCTATTGGTTACAATAGAGTATGGATGTTAAAATGATTGATAACATTGAAGCACTATGTAAGATTTATGTCATAAACATATCTTCTCTGATAAGTAATACAATCATGCTCAGACAGTCACTCAGACTATCTTCACTAAATCACAAAGTTCTGCTTCAAACAAGGAAATCTCACAGACTATAATAAGCAAAAGGTATCACATTTACTTATTATTTTATTTTCTGTTGGCACAGCGGACACCTTGGAATCCCCATTTTAATGCCTGGGACATTCAAAATACATTGCCAAGAGTACCCAGGGCTATATATTGACCAAGGTAAATCCCTGCATTTGACAACCAAAGTGCTTTCTAAAACAACTTGATTCAAACTTGCTCAGACTGCCAATGGCCCAGACTTGGACTGCCAATTTGTTCCCTGATTTATGAGAGGGGCAGCTAGGCTGTGTGCATGCTGCAGCCATGAGGAACCAAATGGTCCCCTGAATAATTGGGGGTGTTCTGAAGGCTCAGAGTGTCGTACCTCAAGTCCGGGTTCACTGCTCCTTTTGTGTTCCCATTTTATGTACACTCTGTAATATTCCTTGATGTGACCAATTATCACCAGGATGCCATAAGCCAGACTGGTGACAATGGCCAACAAAAGTGGTGTCTCTTCGAAAGACTCGTAAAAATCATCTTTCCAGCTGTCTTCCTGAAAGAGAAATTGTTATTTTAAATTTAATCAGTGCTACAGTAAAAGGAAAGGGGGATGAAATGTTTGTTTGTTGTTTAACACTGCACTCACAATATTCCAGTTATATGACGGCGGTCTGTAAATAATTGAGTCTGGACAAGACAATCCAGTAATCAACATCAAGAGCATGGATCCACATATTTGGGATATGATGACATGCATCAAACAAGTCAGCGAGCATGACCACCCGATTATGTTAGTCACCACTTAGTTTTATCATGATTATTCGAAACAGGTAACTATTTTGATTCTGTTGACTGGAGGAATATCACCTTTACCATGTCAACAATAAGGACACATTCATCAAAATCCCACTTACCATTGTATACAGGTTCCCACACTAATTTCCAGTAGCTACTGATGTATTTTATCACATGCTCTCAATAAATATTCTTGACTTGACTGAAGCAATCTTACCCACAGCATCACATCGATCTTGGGAGATTCACACTAAGTGTCTTCTGAGTTGAAGTATATCAAAAGAGTTGATAAAGTATTAAAGGCTTGCAGAGGATATTTTTACTTTTATCAAAAAGTCTTCATACATTTGAGCTTAAAAGACACGAGGAAGAAATTCTATTTATCATCCAAAGTCAACTTTTTGACCAGACTTGTGTGTAAAGGTGCAGTTAACCAGCTTCAGTGGCATGGAAAATAGTGATGTCATTTGACTGTGATGTCATGGTAACCGATGACATCCCAATGGTCAGCTAAAGCATTGTTGCAATTTCCTTCAACTCACCGGAGCGATATCTGATATCTCTTGTGGAAGCCAGTTTGGGATAATAAAATGATTATTGCCAATATACAGTTGAACCCTGTTATCTCGAACCTAGTGGGATCGTGTTGTAACTTCGACATATCCAGACATTCTAGATAACAACGCATGAACATTAACATATAGTAAGGCGGTCGGGACTGGAGAACAGGTTCGAGATATCGGTAGATTTGAGATAAGGGTGTTCGAGATAACGAGTATCGACTGTATATATGCCATCATGGTTTTCATGACAGGATCTTGGAAACAAACTCAAGAGATTTTCAAGCCATTTGCTATTTTAGGTGCTTGAAAGCTCAAAGTTATGTAATGATAGATTGCACAAGCAGTGTTTAGTGTGTACATGGATAATACCAGCTGCACTTGAAGGCCTGTGTGCATCAGAGACTGAAGTCTATTCAAGATGATACAAAAGCTATGTGAAAGCCTCAAACCAACTGTCCACAGTGAAAGTTTCATCACTCAAGGCGTTGTAACACCATGCCTGACTAGTTACATGGCTGTTTGAAAAGTATGTTTAAAGGTCTTTGAAAGCCCTTTAGAAGTGATACACATGAGAAAGAGAATTTATGCATGTCAACTTCTTTATTATGAGGAACACAGCGTTTCGTAGTACATGCTTACTCCTTCATCAGGTGAATGAATGCCATGAAGCAGAGAGCATATATATTTAATTGTTCATCTCATCTCTGTTTCATCCCTGATTTGTCAGAACCTGCCTATTCATGTGCATTGTTGAACACATCAAATCCTTTACCATTAATGTTGGTGTGCAATTTATTGTAAAATGGATTATTTCATGATTACAAAAGCAACTATTGCCTCCATTACAAACCTAGGTTCAACCTTCATGGCGACAAAGTGCATTCTACAACAGGGCTTGATTTATCTATATAAAACATGCACCTGTGCAACCTATTATTGAAAAATGCAACCTGATATTTATATCTACATGCACCCAGGGCATGTCAAAATCTTTCAAATTTGTGTCTAAACCATACTGAGAGGGGTCTCTGAACACATTCAATACCTCTAAGCTTTATTTACCATACTACATAAACAATCTCTGTAATCCTCACCTTTTCGGGAACACCTGGTATCATAATTATTTGATAGTGATTCATAAACACATGCTCATAATATATTCGGAATTGTACATTGAGTGCTTTTAGCAGAGAATATGGAATGGGTTTTGTCGCTTTTATTTATTAATTTGTCATGCTTTCTTGGATTTGACGTCAAACTGTGAGTACTTCAAGACTATGTGCACGTTCCAATTTTGATAAATCTATGGGACCAGGGTGCAACCTGTTTTTGTCAGGTGCAACTAGGTTTTCATGTCAACATGAACCTGGCGCAAGCGAAATCAAGTTCCTTAAATCGAGCCCTGTCCAAGTTGAAATATACAGTGTGTGCCTGAGAAATCAGGACAAGTGGCCTTATCTTCAGACAAGTCAATTGTAGCAAATTACTTGGCAGAAGACAAGTGAACACTTTTTTTCTTATTTCCACACTCCTGAATTGTTAATACCCAGGGTTTTACTTATAGCAAGTATTGAGTCCTGTATTCATTAAAATGGAGTAAGTATGGTTTAACGCCGCTTTTAGCAATATTCCAGCAATATCAGGGTTGGGGACACCACAAATGGGCTTCACACATTGTACCCATGTCGGGAATTGAACCCGGGTCTTCGGCGTGATGAGCGAATGCTTTAACCACTAGGCTACCCGACCGCCCCCATTAAAATTGAGAATGGACACAAATTACATATGCACTTTGAAAGGCACACAAAAAACAATGTCTGCTGCTGAATTGCTGCAAATTGTAGTTGTTTTCCCATCACATATTTATTGAAACACCAGTCACACAAGACATTTCAAGATACGGACAAGCTGGTTCATACATATTATACATTACAACTTATCTCATCCAATTAGATCATCACAGGCACATTGATAGGCTTCCATACATGGCATAAGGAATGCCGTGACAAAGTGGTAGGTTTTGGTGGGTTACGTATTAACAAATTGATCTTTATACTTCAGAAGTATATTTAGTCTCCAAAACGTCATTTCTGCGAAGGGGTCTATAATAAAATTCTGATGTTGGAGATAATGACTGTCAAATACAGTCGTAGATGACCCAAAGCATCCCTCCATAGTGCGCACAAAGATGTTGGCATGGATGGCCATCATCAACGACAGAGTTCGGATTTCATGTTGATTGTGGGCCGACAGAGACTGCAGGCCAGCACAACGATACACATGAAGGATGGCCGGACTAAGCCAAATGGAGATGGTGTTGCGTGGCTATCACCCATGCTGGCGTCGGCGGTACATGGACACCTGAAGATGATGTCAGAGGGTCCAATCAGGGCAGAGGGCGAGTTCCTTCTCATCAGCCGGGCTGACGATATCTGAGAGAGGGGGGATGTAGAACTGATGATCAGGTTGACCTTGAAGACCAAGGTGGACATGGTCATGGGGCAGCTCATCAACCTGACCCAGTTGACATCAAGAGCATGAAGCTCACTAACTCATCAGAAAGCAAGTCTTGATGGTAGGATTCTCGAAGGAGGCAGACACAATTGGTTTATATGATGCTTGACGTTAGTCCCGTAAAACTACATTGAGGTGCCAAGCTTGAGGGTGCAGAAATAGATGTTAACTTCAAGAAGGTGACCATGGCGCGAAAATATGGACACCATAAATGCAGAATTAAACAATTATAAGCAGAAACATACCACAGAGAAGTGGATATATATGCCAGGGGAAGGATGAACGCCACCAAAAAAGTCAAGAAACTGAGCATATCAAAGGTAAGCTTCTGTTCCAATATAACACGTCTGTCGTAAGGTACACAGAGAAGAATATGAGGAAGTACGGACCAAGGTGGATAACTCCAGGTTATTGGGGCATGGGTTATAGTCTGTTTCAACTGTCTCTCTGATCCAGTACTGTCTGTTTGTAAAAGGTAGAGAAGCTAAAGCACTATGTAGCGTCAAGTAAGGGAAAACTTACAATGTACAGAAAACCTTGATTGTAGAATTTTTTTGATATGACAGCAAACAAATGGTGACAGCAAACAAATGGTGACCTTTGGTTGGTGGACACTAGTTCACCACAGAACATATTGCCCTCTCTCAAAATAGGAATTATCTGTCCTTGGTGAGAAACATGATGCGCATGTGCTGGTATACTCTCGCTGAGGGGTCCATCTAATCACGATCAGCTTTTTCCAGTGAAAGTAGGTTGAGGTCAGTAGTAGCTATTGTAAGCTGGGACACTATTTGATCCACTGTCTTCTGACACACATTTTCAAAAGATTGGAAAAGTGAACAAGAAATGCAATCTTGCTGCACTGGATTTACGCAGAATTAAGCAAAGATGTAGCATATCAAATTTTCTGTCTGATGCTGTAAATTTAACAGCAAGTATTAAACCAGTGTGAAAAACGGTGTGACACAATCGCTCGTGAGCCACATAGAGAAAATGATCATCAGAGGACCAAGTTACTTTGGGTGACGGAGACTTTTCATGTTGCAGATTTACAAAGAAGTGACAGGATAAGCCAAAATGCTAGTACAGAAGGCAGAGTTTCGGACAACCATTCGAACATGAGATAATAAGTCAACTTCTCTTCATACCTCTGGCAGTATCTACCCTAGGTCTGCACTGTCCTTTGAGGGTCTTGCATCGGCAGTTATACCCTGACAGACCAAGGTCATGTGTGCGAACCTCAAAGTGAACATAGTTAAGTGTAGAAATATTTCAAGTACCAGTAGTGTATATTGTATAAACTTTTTGTTTGTTTGTTTGTTTGTTTGTTTTATGCCGCACTTAGCAATATTCCAGTTATATGACGGTGGTCTGTAAATAATCGAGTCTTGATCAGACAATCCAGTGACTGATATCATGAGCATCGATCCACACAATTGGGATATGATGACATGCATCAACCAAGTCAGCAAGACTGACCACCCGATCCCATTATGACAAGCATGGGTTGCTGAAGATCTGTTCTACCCTGGATCTTCATGGTCGTATAAACTACTTGACCATGGTCAATAGGCAAGTGTTGTTATATTTTTACCGAGCAAACATGGTCATTATACAACCAGTAGTCAGTGTAGAAACTATATGACCATGTTAAGTGAACAGTGTACATGGTGTAAGTTTG